CACAGGAATGGACAGATGATTATAAATGACAACTATATGTCAATTACAATATCCAATAAAGTGAAGCTTAGAGAACAATCCATCTCCTTTTATTGCTCTTCCTTGATGTTGCTGGATTTAGCTCAACCCTCCGTTGTCACTATGTAACCATCATTTGGGGGAGGGGCAGGGATTTTCTTCTTTTTCTTTTTTTCTAAATTTTCTGTCTTAAAAACTGCTTCTGAAATCTTCATGTAAATATATTTTCTAAAGGAGGAGAGCCATGGGAATCCAGGGAAAAAAATGACACATTCGTGCCATATGAAGTAAAGAAAACTGTACCCATTTTCAAATTGTAGCAGGGAGGCCAGCAAGGAAAGCACTCTCAAAGCTGTGTGTAATATGTTTATTCAATTCAAAAACGAGGACACAGCACTAAAAAGCCTTGGATGTCACCAAGTAAAAGTTATCTGAGAATCAGTGTAAGTAAGTTGGAGAGCGGGACATAGACAATGGGCCAAGGGCTAGAGGAAAGGTTTGACATCAACTTGTACATGTGCACTTGTGCTGCCGGTTAATACTCAGGTGAGGCCCTGACTGCACTGTTCCTCCCTGCACGGATGGAGTGTGTGTTTTTTGACAGAAGTCTCTCAGGTAGAGACAGCTGTTCAGTGGCTTAGACTCCACCCCAGATCCCTTCACTGAGCAGGTGTTCCCGGTGACCCAATGGTTATGAGCATGACTGGAAATTCACAGCTACCCTTCTCTTCCCCACCAGGAAAGCTACACTCCTATCTCCCACCCAGCCCAGAAGATGTTGGCTAATCACAGACTGCTGTCAGCCAAGCCCTTGTCTCAAGCAGGACCAAGTTCTGTAACACAATTCAGATTCCATAGCTCCCCCTGGAACCAGGCTGAAGCCAGTCTTCAGGGGAGGTCAAATCCTTGCCAGATATTTTCCCTGCTCTCCTCACTCCCCTTATAAAAATCACTCTACACTGACTCATTAGAACTGGAACCCTGCCTTGAGCTCCAATCCCAGGGAACAGAACCCAAGCCAGATGCCAATGAGATGGAAATGGGAACACTTTTCTTGCAGGGCAATCCACAAGGACACCTGCTATTGCCAGTCATGGACACAGGACCATTCAAAACCCTCATCTTTAAAGCTCCCTGCAGAAATGATTCCTTTGTTATTGTTTCAACTTTTCTTATTAAGGATTTATTTATTTATTTATTTTAAAGGCAGAGTTACAGAGAGGGAGAGAAAAAGAGAGAAATATTCCATCCACTGGTTCATTCCCCAAAAGGCTGCAATGGCTACAGCTGGGCCAATCCAAAGCCAGGAGCTAGGAGCTTCTCCCAGGTCTCCAAAGTGGGTGCAGGGGCCCAAGCACCTGAACCATCTTTTACTGCTTTCCTGGGCCATAGCAAAGAGCTGGATCAGAAGCAGAGCAGCACCCATATATCTTATATGGCACCCATATAAGATGCCAGCGCTGCAGGTTGCAGCTTTACCCACTATGCCACAGTGCTGGCCCCTTCAACAACTTCTAAAAAAACTGTTACAAGGTAAACCCATAAAAGAAGATTATGTTAACTATAGATCACCAAAACAGACTGTGTTTTTCCATTAAGGAATTGGGCCTCCCTGACTCTGTGTAAACACAGGGCATTTAACTCCTACCTACAACAGCACCCCAGCCTGAGACAAGGGTAGGTGTTTCCCCAAACTAGCCCAGGCCTGGCTCTTCCTACGTGTCTTGGGCCAGGAGGAGAGGTGCAAATTGCTTCTTGGTGCTGGAGTTCTAAGATGGGAAAGTGCTACTCTGTTGGGAGCCACCTTGATCCTCTCTCTGGGAGAATATTCTCTTTGAAGAACATAACACATCAAAGATAAGAAAAACCAAGGGATTAGACAAAGACAGGGCCTTGATGACATATTTAAGCTCTGGAGAAGCTAGACTCTAAATAGGGGGCTGACAAACTATGAATGTAACCCCTGAGCCAGATCTGGCTCCTGCCATCTGTTCTCCTGCTGCCAGAGGGCTAAAAATGCTTTATATTTTTAAATACTTAGGGGGAAAATGGGTAATACATTGTGACACATGAAAATTTATATGCAATTCAAATTCCAGCATCCATAAGCAAAGTTGCACTGCCACAGAGCTGTGCCCAGTGGTCTACACATTGTCCAGGCTGCTTTCACCACATGCTGCTTCCTGAGTAGCTGTGAGGGAGACTGCATGGCCCACAGAGTCAAAAATACTTATTGTCTGTCTATTCTCCAGCACAGAACTTTGACTTCTGTGAGCCAAAAATGACCCTTTCAGCTTAGGCTGTTTAGAACTGGGGAATTTGCATTTATCCTTCCCACCTATATCTACACTCATGCTTTCTGTTGAACTCAACTAGAAACTACTCAATCAGGTCAACTGATTGGCCATTTCTCTGACCTGACCCTTAGACACAACTGCATTCTTTGATAAATTTAACAAGTATTGATTTATTAACCAGAAAGTACATGTAACATCTATCATTCCAACTATCATACCAAATATTGGCATATAATACCAATGATTCCAACTGTATGAAACTCTAGGTTAGTCACTGAAAAAGAAAGCGGATTAAAGGTAGTCCCAGAAACTTTTAAAAACGACTGTACCTGAAGAACATACTTCATTGGTAGGGAAATCTCACCATTGCCAAATCAGTCTCCTAGTTAGATACAGCCTGCCATGATTAGCATAACAACCGGGACATTCTAGTCTCTCACAAAACCAGGGTGCCTGCTGAAAACAAAGTGTGACTCTGGTGGCTGTTAGAGAGAATCAGAGAGGGGAAACAGATCCACTTGCTTCATTCTTGGTTTCCAATTTTCCATTAGGAGATGGTTCCAAGTTTCAATTTCTCATCCCTGCCCCTCTGCATTCACCTGTGTCCCAGAACAGAAGCAGCAAACAAACACAACCAAGCTGCCTCCCTCACATATCAGCTGGGCTGGTCAGGATGATTAGGAAAAACAAACAAACAAACAAACAAACAAAAAACCCACCAAGTTATTTTCTTTTCTGACAACTCGAGAGTACCTAGCTTTTATTGTTCCTGACTACAGCCAATCGACTGCACGATGATACGATGCACGGCTCTGTGACATTTGCCATACATCCTCCTGACACGAGGCATAAATGGCCAGGACGGCCCTGGGTCAATCAGCGCCAGCAGCCCAGGCATTTTCTTCAGGGAGTAAAGCCTCACATTTAACACGTAACTCTCTTTTTTAGAAAAATGAAGAAATTGAAATTGATTTCTTAGGGTAATAATTAACCTCAGAAAGTTAACTATGAAAGGTTGCTTTTAATTATTTTTTGTACTATACTTTGGGAATATTTCTTTTTTCCATGAAGGACAGAGACAAAAGTAGACACATTTTAGGATCTTACGAAACATTATTGGATTTATGTATTACAGGAAGATGAAACTCAACTCACAAAATGCTCAATACAAGAAGAAGGGATCACTTTTATGTTTTTGAGATTCTTAATTTAGTCCTTTTTAAAACAACACATTCCTTCTGTTCTTTATTTCCTCACACATAACTGCCTTAAAGCTTTTAATATATTGTGACTATTCTAGTCCCCCATGGTTCTCCTACATATTCAAAGAAGGAATTTTTCATCTCAACATCAGCTTACAGTAAACTCTGGTAACATCCTTATTCTTTCTTGAGAGTGGAAAGGGGTTTTGTCACCAAGAACTTGTTCCTAAGTCAAGGAATGAAAACATAGGGAACTAGCATCCCTCAGATAATACTATAGAAATGCATTAGTGATTAGCAAACAGTTTAAGATAGATAAATGGATGTATACATTAGATTTTCTACAACACCTTATTTTTTCCTTTAGTTACCGAAAAAGTCCTACACCCTAACCACAAATTAAGCACTATGCGAGGTGTAAGAAAAATCAGAGATGCTGTTCCAAATACCATGTGTCTGTTGCATCACCACAGAATTCAAAACATCAGAAAGCCCTGAAATGCCCCCAAAGAAAATATAATAGATAAGATTATTCAAGGTGTTTTACTTTTCCCTTTCTTTGGTGGCTGACAAATTTTATTCTGCAACAATTTGGTGGAGGGTCATATTTTGTTTTAAGAGAGCAACAAAAAACAATTGTACAAATCAAGTTATGAGAACATGGAACTTGTTTCTTGAAGCCCTCCAAATCTAAGTTTTCGCTAATTAATTAACAAATTCAAGCTGGTTAAATAAAAACCTTCTTCCAACACCTCCTATTTAATTGCAGTTTGGCACCAACAAATATATATCAAAATTATAGTATTTCCCCTGACAGGAAGCTCCTTCCTTGCACACACTATTATGACTCTCTGCAGAGTAAGCCAGAATTGCTGACAACCTTGAACACTGCTACAACAATATTACTATACTTGGCAGAGAAGTACCCTTGCGGCAAGAGAAAAGCTGTAATTTTGACTGTCACTTCACATTACACTAGATATTATTTCACTGTGTACACATGCACACACTCACAAACTCTTAATAGACTACAGTTTTTGCCCTGCCTGCCTTTCCAATATAAATGGCAATATAATACCAGGGAACCGCCAATGGGATCCCGGTGAGAAACAAATGTTTCGCATTATGGAAACATCGTCACAGGATGCCTTTTAAGGGATATTTCATTCCTTTGTCCCCCTCTCTGCCCAACCCACCCTCCACCCCCGGCAAACACACACTATTAACACTCCAGCATCAACTTCATAAACTAATTGCTTTTTTGATCCAAAAAGAACCTCACTTTTTTAAACCCCCATGGACAGCAAAGTTATCACAGACAAACTCTGTGCTTCAAGATGTCCGTGATGTGTTGTAAAGGTAGTGCCCCATGACGTTTAAATAATCTGGACATTCTTCAAGTCTGATGTGTGACACGCAGAATTTGAAGATTTCCAAACGCATCCCTTCCATGCATTTATTTATTTTATTTTTTTTCTGACAGACAAGATCGCTGAACTGCAGAGACCACTAGCCATGTTGCAGCCAAGTTAAAACAGGCAGACCGCAAAGCAGCAGCACGAACACCGAAAGACCGACACACGGTGCCTGACAGAGAGCAGCGCCTGTCTTTGCAGAGAACTGCGCGCGACATATGCTCCTTCTTCCTAAACTCGAAATGCAGCAGATTGGGCCAGGTTCCCTACTGGGCCCTCCCCAACTCGCCCAGCTTTGATTTACAAGATGGTATGTTAATATGCCTTCTACTTGTCCCAGGCTAGGAACTCTGTGATGTCAGGAGGAGTGCCACATTGAGAACTCTCTGGAATCCACTGCACAGATTGGAAGGGTGAATACAAAGGGAAAAAATGCGACTTGCCCCAGGGAGAGGAGGCTGGGAATGGGAGTGTCCAGGACAGAAGGCCCCTTGCACTGTGCTCCGTAAAGGGCCCATCCCTCACAGAAACCAGCAGCACAGCCCCAGAATGCTAAGAACAAGGCAGTCACAACTAAACCAGAGCTGCTTCCCCTACTTCATCGGAGCCATCCTCCTCCTTGGTTGTCTTCCTCCTCCTTTTTCAAATTACTCCTTAGTTAAGATTCAAACTTGTCTTACTCAATCAAGGCAAAAAGCAACATCAGACCTTTTGCCCTCTGTGAAGAGGAAGTATCTGAAACCTCGCTATGTCTGCTGACCACACCAAATTTAACAAGGTTCGCAAATGAACGAAGAGTAACTTTCCCACAGTGACACATTAATAATAAGTTCCTTATCCCATCTATCCCAAGCCATGAATATGTAATGTTATAAAATGAGTCCTTTTCACACAACGGAACCTCAAATGTGAATAAATAAAAACTATCCATCACAAGCCTGTGAAAAATTAATGAGGGTTCAGAGGAGTGAGGAAAAATGGGGACCGAGGAGAGACAAGCAGGTTCAGAAAAGCCCCCCTAACTCTCAGATGCTGAATACCCTTGGCTGCTGGCTCACGCGGGGAGGGTATGAAACACTGCTTTCTATTCTTGAAGTGCTAAACTCCACTCACAACCCAAAAGCAGCAGCAATTCAAGGAACCCACACAGAGACTGGAGCCACATGGTCTCTATATCCAGTATTCTAAACACCATCCCAACTTCAGCAGCAGACCTGGGGTTTGGTTATTTAATTATTTATAACTCATAACCAACCTACTTCCACAGAGATGTGAGGTTGCTCACAGCAGTACTGAGAAAACTGAGAGGAGAAGGGCTCCTGGGGAGCTGAAACCTTGGGGGACCAAAAAAGCCAGCTTTGTCCATCTTTCCTGGGCATTGCTGGGAATCAGGGCAGGGGAGGTTGCGAGTCAGTTCCAGGCATCACTTCTGTTTGAAGTCATAATCTGATGAATACCACTTGCTGGGTGCCGACCAACTGCCCAGCAAGCACCACACGACTGCTATGTCTGAATAATCTCTAACAGTCACTATTTTTCTACATGACCAAAGGGGGAAAGGGGGAAACTGAGGCTAGGAGGCCCTAAATTACCTTATCCCAGCCAAAGAGCTGGCAGGAAGCAGAGTCAAAGAAGAGAGGTTTAAGAGCTCCAAAAACCAAGTCTTTTCTACCCATGACCAATGGTTACTACACGTGGGCTGAGAAATAGGAATACTGCTTTGCCATCTGCCTCTTACCATCAAAAACTAGAGAATGTTAACACTGTGAATCAATCTTAGAAACTCCTAAATCCGGAAGGCATAACGTTAGAAAACAATAAGAAGCAGAATGATGCACAGGGACTTGGGGGTCTTGGCAAAGGCAGAGCAGATAAGGGGCAGAGCTGGACCAAGAACCCCGGCTTCCCTCCCACTCTGCTTCGGCCATGAGCTGACCCTTCCTGGTAGGAAGGAGCCCAAGCCTCACTTCCAGATCAGACTAAATGTGGTAAAGACAAAGCCATTCACCCACAATGGTTTGTCTTTTAGTGGATGTTTCTGGGGCTGAAAGTGCTATCCTCAAGGACGGTACAAAAAAGAAATTCTAAAACAGGTCCATGAGGACAATCCCCGTGATCCAGCCAAGCTACTCCACAAAAGCTAAACAGTGTGTGTGATTAATACACATGCCTACTTGGTGTGTCCCGCTGTTTTTAATTCTATGCATTCGCCAGTGGCAACCCCCGCCCCCCATCCCACCCATGGGGCTGCCTGACCTCTCTCCACCATTCTAAGTCACTCCTTCTTTCAGATGCTGATTAGCCTGTGACCTCTCAGCTTGGCCAAAGAGGACATCAGTGCACAACTCCAGGGAAGCCCAGAGCTGAAGGTCCAGAACAGCCAGGTCAATGAGGAAAGTGAGTCAGGTGTAAAGTAACTGACTAGGGGTAGGGGGGAAGGTGTGTGAGTCAGGCAGGGGGCTGTCGCTGTACAGGCTGAGTCCAGCGCTGCTTCTGGGAAACAGGGGAACAATGCTGCCAAATCTTCTAGTTTCGGTAAAGAAACTTGTGTTTGTATAAAGAAGCTAGGCTTTCTATGTGACCTTTTTCCATGGGGGGTGGGGATGGGGAGAGGGGAGACTGTGAGCCGAATAAATCATGACTGCAGGCTGAATTCAACTCATGTTTAGATCATAAAATCACTTCTTGTTATGTTTCAGGCTCCTTAAGACTAAGAGTCAGTGCTGGTGAATGCTGCATGGCTCACACACCGGGAAGCACTTGGTAAATGGAGGGTCCTCAATACCTGCTGGACTGAACCAACTCACTTCAATGACGTGGGACCAATGAACCCGAAGCACAGGAAATTAATAAAACCAAAAACAAGCCAATGGGGGGAAGGCCTTCTTACTACTGTCGAGAATTTTATTTTGAATTCCTGCAAATAGTGGGAATACTTGGGGTCAGGTATTTCCATGAGGTACTGGAAAGCAATCTACCAGGTGTTAAGGGAGGAGGAATTTTTTATTTCTTTGTCTTTCCAAAAAGGAATGCCAGTGCAGTACCAGGGCCTTGGCCCAAGTAAAGAAAGCAGTAATCAGCACATCTGGGAAGACCATGAAGCCCAAAGCCAAAACTGAGGAGTGAGCTCAACAATAAGTCAACCCCTTGACTCTGAGGCTTATGGATTCAAGACCAATATTCTAATCAGCAGCAAGGAACACTGGCTGTGTCCACCTGAACAGAGGGAGAGACACTCCTGCCCGAAGCATGCAGGGTAAATTGAGGCAGAACATGAACCACTCAAGGGAGATATTCATTAGGCATTGTTCTAGGCTACCTAAGCTCTTGCTCCACGTTCCTGCATGAGGTATATGCATGAGAAGAGCAGAACCCAGTAAGAATTCTGACCTCAAGGAATTTATCAACCAATAGGAGAATGAGTTGATTTTTTTTATGTTGTTAAAGTAATAAATCCATCAGCCAGAAAATGTGTCTGTAGAGGTGGAAGGGGTGATGATGACTGAGCTGATGGAAACTTGAAACCCAATGGGTTTGAAAGCATGAAGATTAGAAAGTAAGGGGGAGAGGGGAAGAGGAAAGGTGTGGAAATGGCGAGTGCAGGAGAGAAATGGAAGCATGCAGTGATTAAGCAGACCCAGATGTGATCCCAGTGCAGCCAAAATACAGAGGACAATGGAAGTGTTGGTTGGGGTTTCTGCGCTGCATTTGTTTGTCACCTGAAAACAGCTAAGCAATTTCCAAGGCCAACAGCTGGGTTCCCAGGCCAAATTATCTAGTGTAACTGTGCCTGGCCCAACTGCTTCCTGTCCATCCCTCCTGAGTGCCAGACCTAAATCCACAGGTCAGTGGACTATTTCCACTTAGATGTCCCATAGGCATCTTCAACACAGCTTAAAAAAAGCAACTTCGTATCTTCCTGCCACATCCACTGCTCTTCTCACATGCTGTCTGCAGGGACACCTCTACCATGCAGTCGGCAGCCCAGGCCAGGAAACCCACACCTTACACTTGAGCCTCCCCTGTCCACTGAGCTTACTTGTCATCTCCAACTGGGAGCCAAACCGTCTTGATTTCACCTCGTTAGGGTCTCCCAAGACTCTCTCTCTCTCTCTGTATCACTGTAACCACAATTGTTCAAGGGTTCATCATTTCTTGCCTGGGTGGCTAGAATGGTTTCCCAGCAGGTCTCCCTGTTCTTGCTTCTCACAGAACAGTCTCCTAAAGGGCAAATCTGATCATTTCACAACTCTGCTCTAAATGCCTTCTATGGCTCCCTCTGGCTTGGATTTAATAAATGTTCATCATGTGAACTTGCTCTCTGAATGCATGCTGTTTTCTGCCAGCTCAGTGGAGGTCAGGCTCTGGTGGAAGCATCCTTTTGAGCCGGAGAGTTACACAAACAACAAAGTGGCTGATTCTGAATTCCACACCAATCCCAATACCAACGACCAGAGGGTCGTTGCACCTAATGGGTTGGGAAAGTACACTAAGGCCAGTGCAAGGCAGAGCCAGAGGCTGGGAAGGATGCACCTGACTGTCAGGCATGGAGGCATCATCACAGCTCCTCTGAGCATGAGTGCAATCGAAGCTCCACATCGACAAGGCAGTGGGCACCACGAGTATGACAGACTTCAGAAGGGACACTGAGAGGTGGAGAGACAGTTAAAATATTCTGACTCTGACAAATGTAAGATTCAACACCCAGAATTAGGAGAGTAGACACCAAGGAGGAAGGAAGGAAAGAGATTACTGAAAAAACCATTGCTCTAATCCATGGCCACTTACAGTGATATTCTTCTATCTGGACATAAGACCCTAATGACAAACTCACCTGCGTGTTCAACACATGTGCTATTGAGGACATTGTCTTGTGAAGCTAGAAGGCAAAACTTAATGATGCTACCCTATTCCTCACTGCTAAGTCCTTTCTGCTTTTAAACAATGGCACCTAGTGCAGTGAAGACAGTGTTATCTTCCCTTTATTATTATCCTTATTACTGTCATTATCATTATTATTACACTGCCCTTAGGAATAACTGTGATATTATAGTCAGTTCCCATCCAAGGTGTTTGGGTGCTTGAGATAAGCACCGTGTAATCCTCACAAAGTCTAGACTTGTCCTATGGGCAATGAGGTAGATGCTATTATTACCTACTGCAGCAAATTAAAGGTGTAAAGTCTTAGACATTGCTACCATCAGAAAGTGAGGTGCATGTCCTCTCCCTTGAACCTGAGCAGGTTTTGCAATTGCTCTGACCACAGAAGTGATGTTGTGCCAGCTTCCAAGCCAGGCCTTCAGACCCAGACAGGTGGGCAGGCATCTAGCCCAGCAACTAAGACACCAGTTCAGATGCCTACTCTCACATTAGTGCCTCAGTTCAATTCCTGGCTCCAGTCTACCAATGTTGACTTTGGGAGGTGATAGAGATGGCTGAAGTAGTCAGGTCTCTGTGCCCAAGTGGGAGACCTGGATTGAGTTTCCAGCTTCAGCTTCAGTCCTAATTAGTCTTGGCTGTTCCAGGTATTTCAGGAGTGAACCCACAGATGGAAACTCTGTGCCTGCCTCTCTAATTAAAGACAGAAAGCAATGGGCAGCTTCTCCATCTCGTCTTTCTGAACAACTCCTCTGGAACTGTGAGCCACCCTGTAAGAAATCTGACCACACTCAGTCTGCCACCTTAGCACGAACACAGGTTCCAGTCAAGCTCAGAGCCAAGTCACCACTGTGAAGATACCACACACGTGGGTGGCCATTCTGTACCTCACCCACCAGCAGTCTCATGGAGATCCAGGTCAACACCTCAAGGACAAGCCATGCCTGAACTGCTACCTCATGAAACTCTTAAGACAAAACAAAATGACTGCTATTTCCAGCTTCTAAGTTATAGGGTAATTTACAATCATTATACAGCAATAGATAAATTGGAACACTCTCATTTTACTGACGAGGTAACTGTGACTCTGGGGGATTGGCTACCTTATGTGTAGTTTCCTGGCTCCTAAGCTCTGCCCCCTGGTTGGAACTCAATCTGCCTGACCCATGGCTAAACACAAATGCACCCTGAGTAATCCCAGAAAATATAAAGCCAAATAGGGGGCAAACTAACAAAATTCCCCATGCTCTTTGGATTGTGGGAGTATAGCCATAATATTTTACATCAGCTCACATAATGCACCTGGTTAGGTATGATTAAAGTTGAATGCTGCTAAACCTACTTCTCCACTTGTTCCCTTCCTTCCTCTCCAGAGTCTCAAAATCTATGAAATCCATGTTCACCACCAGAGAGACTAACTTCCATTACAACCAAGAAGTGAAGATAAATCCAAGAATCAGAGATAACCTCTCACTGCGAAGGCTCTTCCTCATTAGAGTGAGTAAAACATGACCTTCTGCCATCCTATAAGGACAGCCACAAAAGAGATGCTTACTTGAATCATCACACTGGTTCCCTACCCAGCTCCAGATTTTGGAGAATTCAGAGCTGTAAAATCCTTATGATTGTTTCTCAGGATCCTGAGACTCCCAGTAACACTCAAACCCTGAAAGGACTCGGGAAGGTAATAGACACAGACTGGCTTTACACCAGTATGAAACTGCAGCATGTCGTCAAGTTTCCATGAACAAGATGCTAAAAGCAAGAATGAGTTTACATGCGTTTGTGATTTCCTTTGACAAACTACATGCACTCATTCCTTCTACCTAAGCAAATTTCCTAGAACAAAAACAGATTTGAAGTCAGGTGAATGAGTAAGCCATCTGTGGATGGGAAGACGGATGAAACAATCATTTGTAACTGTGTAAGAAACATGACTCAAGAGGACACAGAATTAAATTCACTGACCTATTCTTGGTCATCCCAAAACACAGTTTAAAGTAAGTAGCTTTATATTGATGTAATCCTAGAGCTCTATAAAATCTAAACATCTTAACTTGATGCCAGAATTACCCCCAAATTAAACAAAATACTCTCAACTATTAAATATTTATAAATTGTGAGTCGATAAAGCCTTGCAATGCAACTGTTTTACCTGAACAAGAACAAAGAATTCTAAAGTGAATCTGCTTAAGTTCCCAAGGCAAAGACATTTTACCCCATTTCCTTTCCTGCTTTTTCATGATGGATCAAGGAGCAGAGAACACTTTAAGATTCTCCCTTGGCTGGCTGTTATGCCCCATTTCAGCAGATACATCATCCTTAGAAGAGCCAAAGTACCTATGGACCAGACAAACGCTCCCTCAGTACAGTGGACCATCAACTTAAAGGAAATGATTTATAACCAACATGGAGTATTAATTTAAGAAAGCTGTTAAAAAAAAAGAGAGAGAGAGAGAGAGACCATGAGTGACTTTGAAAATAATGGCTGCATTTGACACAGAACAAGATGGAAAAAGCATTTCAGCTCTGGAGCGAGACAGACCTGGGTTTGGACCCCAGCAGTAATCCTTATGTGACACAACTTTGGGTGAGTTTTCAAACTCCTCAACCCACCTCAGAGGACTGCACCTAAATTAATGGTAAAATGTGCAGAAGAACCTGATAGGCATGCAATAGGAATTCAGTCATTTAGTTATTTACCACAGTACGGCAGCAGAGGGTTAAGAAACAGGCTCTGATGGCCTGAGTTCTAATCTTGCCTCCACCAATTACCAGCCCTATGACCTTAGATAAGTTAACCAGCTTCTCTGTGCCTCCCTTTCTGCAATAGCCAGGCAGCTATGAAGCCAAGTCTTTAAAGGTTATCTGATCAATGGTATTTGTCTGCTCTTAGTTGTGTTCACTAAGCAACAGACACTACAGCTACGGCTCTCTCTGTATCACAGGTTAAGCCAATTCTGTTAAGGACCTGAGAGCAGATGCCTTAGTCTCTGGGCCACAGATGGTCTCTGCC